CCTCAGCACTGACCCTCCCGACAGTGCGGCGCTCCCTCAGCACTGACTCTCCCGACAGTGCGGCACTTTAGGGGAGGCAATGGCTTAATGGTATTATCACTGGACTGTTAATCCAGAGAAGCAGATAATGTTCTGGTGACCTGGGTTCAAATCCCACCATGGCACATGGTGGAATTTGAATTCAATAAATATCTGGAATTAAGAGTCTAATGATGACTATGAATTGTTTGTTGATTGTCGGAAAAAACCATCTGGTTCACCAATGTCCTTTAGGGAAGGAAACTGCCATCCTTACCTGGTCTCGCCTACATGTGACTCCAGACCCACAGCAATGTGGCTGGCTCTTAACTGCCCTCTGGGCAATTAAGGATGGGCAATAAATGCTGCCTGGCCAGTGACACCCTCATCCCGTGAATGAATAAAGAAAATAAAACTCTCTCAGTACTGACCCTCCGATGGTGCGGCGCTCCCTCAGTACTGACCCTGCGACTGTGCAGTGCTGCCTTAGTGTTGACCCTCCCTGGTTCTGAACCTTTCCATTGTGCCACTCCAGTAGTGTCGAGCAATGTGGCACTCCCTCAGTGTGTGGTAGAGTTTGAAGTTGCATAGGGTACTCCACTCCCTTGATCCCTGGCTTGTTGTTAATGCCAGTCAAAGTGCTCTGACTGTCACTGTCTCTGTCTCTTTTGTTTCTTTTTTGCAGTCGTCAGTTCGATGTTAAACATGCTGATGCCCAAAATGGACAATGGAGGTCACCAGGAAAAGGGAACAAGACGAGACTGTGACAGGACAATGCAGGATGTGGTCACAGAATCAAGCTGTCACAGAGCTTCAGCAAATCCTGAGAACTGGCATGGCCAAAGAATAAGAGGTGAGCCAGTTGGAAGTCCAAGATTCCGGTAATGTGGAATAGGGGGACACAGTCTCAGGACAAGGGGGCGATTGTTTATATAAGGAGGAATTTCTTCACTCAGAGGGCTTTGGAATTCTGCACCTGAGAGGCAGTGAGTGCATGGTAACAGATTATATTTGAGGTGGGGTTTGACTGATATTTAGTCCCTTGATGGGGAATCAGGGGATGTGGGGAGAGATTAGGAAATGAAGCTGAAGCCCAAGATCAGCCATGATGATGTTGAATAGTGGAGCAGGTGCAATGGGCTGAATGATCTAATCCTGCTCCTGTTTTTTTTTTTGACTCTGTTGACTAACATCCGCTGCTTCATTTCTTCATCTTGTACCCTTTACCCTCACACCCAATTCCTCCCTCTCTCTCCTGCTCCCACTGACCAGTTAATATTATACAAGCAGTATAATCAGGGATCTGTTTACACACAGGCCATCATGGGGGAATGGTGGGTCGGGCATTAGTTTGGATTAGTCTGCGGTCATGTTGCTTGTACTTTGTGTCTGTGATGTTTCTGTCACCTCAATGTGTTACAGATTCTGACTATGAATTTGCACCGACAGGAGACATTCCAGTGGTGAGTAAATAATGAGAAAAATCCAAAGAACTGCAGATGCTGGAAAGCAGAAACAAAACCAGAAATTGCTGGTAAAACTCAGCAGACCTGGCAGCTTCTGTGGAGAATTGGACCCAAAACGCTAACTCCACTTTCTCTCCACGGATGCTGCCAGATCTTCCGAGTCTTACCAGCAATTGCTGGCTCTGTTTGTAAGTGAATAATGAACTTGGCTGTGAGAAGGCCTCAATCACCAACGCTCTCTGAACTACTGGATTGTGTTTAATTTAAGGAGCACTGGGGCCAATGATATGGGCGAGGCTGCACACACTCCGCATGAGTGAGGACAAGCCAGGACATGCCTTCTACAGAACAACGGGAAAGGAGGCGGAGAAATCTTCACTCTCTCAAACTACTAGCTCATGATTTGACAATCAGCAGCTTTCTACCATTCTCCTTTTGTCTGCAGCTCTGGGCAGGTTTCATTGGCAGTGGGTCAGAGGTGCTGTAAAATTCTCCTCATTGTGTCCCGAGAAGGCAGGGGCCAATATTACCAACAAGGAACAAGAGTTGGCCACTCGGCCCTTCGAGCCTGCTCTGCTATTCAATAAGATCACAGCTGATATGATTTTAACCTCAACTCAACATTCCTGCATACCCCCCCCACCCCCCAATAACTTTACATCCCCTGAAAAATATTTAAAGATTCTGCATCCACTACCTTTTAATGAAGGGAATTCTGAATTCTGAAGACTAACAATCCTCTGACAGAAAAAAAATTGTTTCCTCATCTCTGTTTTAAATGGGCACCCGCCTTATTTTTAAACAGTGGCCCTGAGTTCTGGATGTCCCACAAGAGGAAACATCCTTTCAGCATCTACCCAGTCAAGTCCCCTCAGGATCTTACATGTTTCAATTAAGTCACCTCTGACTCTTCTAAACTCCAGAGGATACAGGCCTAGTCTGTCGAGCCTCCCATCATAAGGGAATCTGCTCATTCCAAGTATTAGTGTGGTCTGTGGAGTTTGAGAATGAGAGCTGTACAAAAGGGTAGATAGGCAAGCATATGAGGGAGAAGTCACTTATGATTGTAGGTTTGGTTCAGAAAGATCAGAGAAGGCTCTCAAGGAGCATAAACATCAGCATGGTGGTTGGGCTGAATGGTCTGTATATTCTTTAAGAGTTGATTCCATTGATACAAATAAAGTTCAGAGAGGGCTTGATAACTTAGGTTCAAAGAGGCATGATCTCAGTACAAAGGAGCATTTTGCCCTGGAATGAGGAGAGATATCTTTGCTCAGAGGGTTGTGAATCTTTGGAATTTTTTTCATTCATTGCCCATCTTATTTGCTCTTAAGAAGGTGGTGGTGAGCTGTCTTCCTGAATCTCTGCAGTTTTGTGCTGTGTGTCGACCCACAGTGCCATTAGGGAGGGAATTCCAAGCTTTTGATTCAGCAACGCTGAAGGAATGGCGATATATTTCCAAGTCAGGATTTTTTTTTATTAAGTCATGGAATGTGGGCATTGCTGGCTGCCGGCATTCGATGCCCATTCCAAATTGTCCTTGAGAAAGTGATGGTGAGCTGCCTCCTTGAACCGCTGCAATTCACATCCTGTAGGTAGAGACACGATACCCATTGCAATGGTGAGTGGATTGGAGGTGAATTTGCAGATGATGATGTTCCCATGTAAATACAGCCCTTATCCTTCTAGATGGCAGTGGTCGTGAGTTTGGAAGGTGCTGTCCCACGATGCTTGGTGTATTTCTACAGTGCATCTTGTAGGTGGTACACACTGCTGTTACTGAGTGCCATTGGTGGAGGGAGTGAATGTTTGTGGGTGTGGGGCCAGTCGAGCGGGGGGCTGCTTACTGCTGAATGATGTCAAGCTTCTTGAGTGTTGTTGGAGCTGCCCCCATCTGGGGCAAGTGGGGAGTATTCCATCACATTTTCACTTGTGCCTTGTTGATAGTGGATAGACTGTGGGGAGTCAGGACGTGAGTTACTCGCTGCAGGATTCCCAGCCTCTGACCTGCTCTTGTAGGTACAGTTTTTATATGGCTAGTCAGTTTCTGGCCATTCTCTATCCTAGGAGGCTGTAGATGGTTGAATATTGAGTGTATTCAAGACAGATCGATAAGAAAGGGAAAATAAGCTGGGATAACGGAGTTGATGTCAGAGCTCAATCAAGATCTTAATCATAGAATCCCTACAGTATAGAAGCAGGCCATTTGGCCCATCAGGTCCACACCGCTCTGCTGAAGAGCATCCCATCCAGAACTACTCCCTACCCTATATTTCCCACCCTAGACACTGTGGGCAATTTAGCACAGCCAATCCACCTAACCTACACATCTTCCAGAGGAAACCCACGCAGACACGGGAAGAATGCGCAAACTCCACACAGACAGTCGCCCGAGGGTGGAATTGAACCCGGGTCCCTGGCGCTGTGAGGCAGCAGTGCTAACCACTAAGCCACCATCCTGCCCCTTATTGAATAGCATGGGAGGCTTAAGAGGCCAGGCGACCTACTGCCAATCCTGTTTCTTTCATGATCGCTACAGTTGCTGTACTGTTCTGGTTACCTGATTGATTAAGTGATGCAAAGACCACCACCACCATCAAAACCAACATTCCCTCGCTCCCACATAGCAGTGGACTCAGAACTAAACTCCTCCCTTCACAGCAACAGCACTCCATTTATTTTCTGTACATCAATTAATTTCTCAATTCCGAATAACGTTCCACAGCCATTTGAAGCAGTTGTCATTGAAATTCTTTGTCACAAAATAGGGGATGAGGGGAGGCCCAGTGTTTTGTGCCTAGATGGGCTAGTGTGTCAGGGTTCTAGACAGATCTGTTATAAACTACATCCAAATTCCCTGGAGGTCTGCTTTCAACCTTCAGTAAGTAGGGACATCATTGGCATAGAGGGCCATTCAGCCCCTCAAATTCATGTTGGCTCTCTGAACAGAAATCAAGTCAGTCCCATCTTCCCAACCTCAGAGTTTATTTACTCAAGTTCCTGCCCAATTGCCTTTTAAAATCACTTGAAGAAATGATTCATATTCAGTTATTTAGTAATTGAGTGAGAAGTCTAACATCTGTCTTCTCCCAGCAGGATATTAGGAGCCTGGCTACCATCAGTGGAGGAGGGGGAGCAACTGAAATGGCAGGCCTTGGAAAAATAAACGGTAATTGTAACCAAGATCGGAATGAGAGGATAAGTTTGTTGCCGAGCTGCTCAACTACCTCAACAGAATCCCATGCTGAAAGTCTCCTGCAGAGTCCGGCTGGGGTGACCTCTGGCTCCCTGACCGATCCTTTGATGGGGATAATTCAACCTGAACAACAGATGAAAATTTTCAGATCAAATCACACTGGAGCTAAGGACAGTGATAAGAGAGATGCTGCCAATCCAGAGAGTTCATTGCTGAATTCATTCAGCACTCTGCATCTGGAGCAGTCTCCTGATAAATACAAGGCAAGTCCATGATAAAACTTATCCACATAAAGGTTCACCATTCCAATCCCAGGAAACCTGGATGGGCAAGACAGGGGATATATGAAGTTATCCATTCTTTTTGGAAATTTGGAAAAACAAAATCATTTTGATATGATGAGAGACTGGAAACTGTTGGTATTGAAAAGGATTTGGGTGTCCTTGTACATGAGACACTGGAAGTTAAGATCCAGGTGTAGCAAGCAATTGGGAAATCCAGTGGCACGCTAAACCTTATTGCAATGCGGTGACAGTTTTAGAGTTCAGAAATCCTACTGCATTGATGTAGTACTTTTGTAAGACCACACCTGGAACACTGTGTACAGTTCTGGTCTCCACCTCTCAGGAAATATGTCGAATCATACAGCACAGAAACAGACCGTTCGGTCCAACATGTCCATGCTGACCAGTTTCCAAAACTTAACAATCCCACTTGTCTGTGTTTGGCCATGTCCCTCTGAACCTGTCCAAACGTCTTTTAACTGTTGTAACTGTACTTACATCCACCACTTCCTCTGGCAGTTCATTCCACACATGAACCATCCTCTGTGTGAAAAAGTTGCCCCTCAAATCCCTTTTAAATCTTTCTCCTCTTACCTTAAAAATATGACTCCTAGTTTTGAACTCACCCATACTTGGCTTAGAGGAAGTGCAACAAAAGATTCATTGGATTGATTTCTGTGAGAATGTCCTAAGAGCAGAGACAGAGAGAGAGAGTAGAATGGCCCCATATTCCCTGCAATTTAGCAGAATGAGAAGTGTCCTGTTTGAAATGTGTAATGATTCTCGATGGCTTGCCAGGATGCATGGTGAAAAGATGATCTTGCCTGTTTGGGAATCTCAAATTATGGGGTCACCATTTCAGAATAAGCCTCGGCCATTTAGGACAGAGATGAGGAGAAATTTCTTCACGCAGAGGATGGCGAATCTTTTTAATTAGAGATTGGAAAATTGTTTTGTTTCCTGAAGGACTTGAAGGGTATGGGATTACGATTATGTGAGTGGGGGAGAGGTCACGTTCAAGCGTAAGGTCAGCCAAGATCTGACCAAATGGCTTGAGACCTTTCCCATTCCTTTTCCTTCTGTTCTAGTTTTGGAGTTCAGCAGCTTAATACCATTTCACCTGACATCTTCAATTGAATTCTGAGCAACGTTTTCTCACTATAGATTTAAAATGCCAACCTGGTTCGGCATTAAATTTAGCAGCTTAAGAATTCTGAGTGTATATAAAACACCCTCCCCGTCAGCCCTGAACAAACTATGCTCAACAATGTCTGTGCATATAAGAGCTTGGACAGGAATTGTCAACACCGACCTGTGTTATAGTTACAGAAGGTTTAGCATATTCACTTTTTAATTTCAGTTTATTAACCTGCATTTTACAGGAAAGTCCTCACCCTTTTCAGCTGGCTGAAGAATTGTCTAAAAGCAAAGGTAATCTTCTTGTCGATCTACATTGTTGTGTTCTTGTGACTGGCATTACAAATGAACAATTCCTCTTTGGTTTCTCCTTCGTCCTGAGGTTTTAATCCTGGTTTTTGAATCCTCTCATGATTCTCACCCCTGTCCTATCCTGCTGATCACTTCCAACCCCACTACTCTCTGAGCTATCTGTGCACCTCCAATTCTGGCCTCTTCAGTATCCTATGTTTCTACAGCTCCACCGTTGGTGGCTGTGCCTTCAGCTGACTCGGCCACAAGCTCTGGAATTGCCGTCCTACACCACTCTAGCATCATTCTATTCTTTTAAGATGTTCTTCAAAATCTACTTCTTTGATCAAGCTATTTGTCACCTGTCCTGATATCTCCTTTTGTGGCTGGTTGTCGAAACTCCTCTTAAATTTTTCTGTGAATCACCTTGAGATATTCACTGGGTGAAAGGCGCTACATTGATGCAATAGCGTGCATTTATCATTTGTTAGGCTGACGCCGATGGTGAGCAGTATGTTTTCTGGGCGGCTGGAGGTTGGCTAGAGGGAGAGCTCTGGGGAGAGTGAAGGTCCTGAGCCCCACATGCATCTCTCCAGTTTTTAGCTGTAGATCTCAATGAGGTTTCTGCAGTTGTAAGGACAAGGCGAGTCAGGGTATCACCAGTTTCCTGCCAGATATGAAGGGGCTTATTTACTCTGACATACCACAGGGATGGCCCCAGCAGATTGCCACTGTTGGCTGTCCACCTGACAGGCAGACTACTAGATAGTGAACACATCGAGCCTGGGTTGCTGCCTATCGTACAGGGGTTGGGAGGTACCTGGTTTGGATCCACCCTGCTGTGTATCCCTTTGCCCAGACTGAACAATCTCTGATCCAGCCCCTTCCCTATGTGTTGCACCTTAGCTTTGAGAATGGAGGTGGCATGATGATAATGTCATTGGACTAGAAATCCAGAGGCCTGGGCTTGTGATGTGGGAGAAACAAAAACAGAAATTGTTGGAGAAACTCTGCAGGTCTGGCAGCATCTGTGGAGAGAAAACATTGAACATTTCAAGACCAGTTGCTGTTCTTCAGAACTAGTTCTGAACTTGTAATTGTGTACGAGTTAACATCAGCTACCTTTAACTCGGCTACTTATTAATTAAGTTACAGACAATCAAATACTGAAACAATCATTTAAACATTATGGCATGTAGTGATCAAAATAAGACCCAAGATGTCAGCAAGTTAAGCTTCACAACCCAACTTGGCTTTTACTCAGTTAATGGTGGAATTTAGCAATGATTCCAACCAACAGTGTTTGTCTCTGGCTGTATCCAGGATTCAATCTTTATGCAGTGTTGTTCTCCAGAGTTCTGCTAATAAAGAATCCCGGAAGTGAATTCTCATAGTATTTTCTGACCTTCAAGTTAATTGTGTGACATTATTGATGACACGTCTGAAGTCCTCAAGTCTGTAGCTTATTTTCTTATCAGGAGTAGCTTCTCAGTTCCTTGTTAA